CTTTGTGCCTTACATAGAATAGTATATATGCACAATATAGAATTTGAATCAGCCTCGTCAAAGATGGCAGTGTCAGAGCCGATACCGATCCTGAGTATCTAATCGGCGCACTTCTTTTCAACAGTCAAATTGAAATTGAAATTGCTTGAAACTCAACAGATACATCACATTTATTAGCCAGTAGACGTGCAAAGTTTCAGAAACGGGCATGGTGCAAGGACTAAATAGCGCCACCTTTTGACAAAAGTGGGGTTGTTAGTTTTATCTACAGTTACAAAAATCGGTATATACATTGTACTCCTCAAGCCGTACAACTTTCTAATACATAGTCATTAGCTCGGACCAAGAGAAAGTCAGATATTTTGGTCTGAATATGGTGAGCCTCTCTCTGAGCCTACGTCCCTGTATGGCAAGCCCTTTTAACATTTAAAAGCTAAGTTTGCCTGTCCGGAATTAACATTGTAGATATCAACAAAGTCTTTCTGTCTAGTCGTTACACTTTGGATGGTTTGTATTATCATTTAAGATATCTGTAACATAATTGTGACTAGTCGAAATGACAGAGTATGGCAAGCCGTTTTAACATTTAATCATGAAAGGGCCAAAGCCTTCGGCACCGCCACCCGGGTGCCTTTAGGTAACTAAAGGAACCGGGGTTGCGGTGCCTCCGGCTTGGGCCCGCCATCGCTGCTCGCAGCTATATTTATTATTATTTTTCTTACGACTATTCGGGCACTTTTGGGGCCCTTAACATGCTCGAAAACTCTTGAAACTTTGCACACGGGTCAGAACCCGCGGCCATCAGAGCCGGGCTGAAGATGGTACCCGGGCGTGGCAGGGGGGCTCGTCAGCGCCCCCTGGAATGGGGTCCGAACACTTGGTCCATAACTCAAACACGCTTGCATGTAATAATATGAAACTCGGTACGCATGTTGATCTCATCGTTTCATCTATACCTCCCGCTTTTACTTTTTACCCCAGCCCAACAGGAAGTCGGCTATTGAGGTTTGTTTGTAAAACGCTCGCAATGGTATTTGAAATACTCCTCCTAGAGCTTTGATCCAAATTCGACGATACTCGGTCAGCGTGAAGTCAAGACATTGAGGATGAAAGCTTGTGTGGGGATTTTTGATATCTCGAACGGTTTGGCCGTGGCGAGGAAACGAAATCATGGCGAGAAACGTGAAACAGGAAGTTTGTTATAACTTCAGCATACATTAACTGATCTTGATGAAACTTCAGCAGTGTGTTCGCTGTAAGAGGACGATCACATGGATGTGACTATTGTGAGTCAAAGTTATAGCGCCACCAACTGGCAGCAGGAAGTGTGTCACTTTCAAAATGCTTTGATATCACCCTTTTATTTTTACCCGATTTGCTTCAAACTTCATATGTATAATGTAACAACCCAGTCTCACGGCAGTTCGTGATATAGTCACGAAATTTAATCTATTGATTCGTGTTCGTGGACACGAATTTCCCTTTTTTTTCGTGTCACTCAGCACGACTTTCAGTCCAATGTATTTCAATGGGACATATTTTTCGTGCCTGCAACACGTTTTTCTTTCGAGAGCACAGTATTGTTTTTTCTCAATTCTTATTCATTTTGCAAACTTTAAGGGTAGCCTACACTACCAACATTTAATCAGAAGGTTTTAATCCTTGTTTTTATTGCGTTATTTTCGCTAGGCTAATACGCAACATGAATGATGATCGTGTCCACGAGCTCGAATTTTCTTCTTTTTCTTCGTGTCACTCAGCTTTCAATCCAATGTATTTCAATATGGGACATATTTTTCGTGCCTTTTGCGAACTTTATGGGTAGGCCTACACTACCAACATTTAATCAGGAGATATGAATCCTTGTTTTTATTGCTTTATATTCGGTAGGCTACGCAACATGAATCAAATGAAGATTCGTGTCCATGGGCACGAATTTCCTTCTTCTTTTTTTCGTGTTACTCAGCACGACTTTCAGTCCAATGTATTTTTCAATGGGACATATTTTTCGTGCGTACATCACGTTTTTCTTTCGAGAGCACAGTATTGTTTTGTTTTTTCTCAATTCTTATTCGTTTTGCAAACTTCAAGGGTAGACTACACGAGGCCCAACAATTAATAAGAAGATTTTAATCCTTGTTTTTATTGCTTTATATTCGGTGGGCTACGCAACATGAATCAAATGATGGATCGTGTCTGGGGGCACGAATTTCCTTCTTTTTTTCGTGTCACTCAGCACGACTTTCAATCCAATGTATTTCAATGGGACATACTTTTCGTGCCTGTACCACGTTTTTCTTTCGAGAGGATTTTTCTCCTCAATTTTTATTAATTTTGCAAACTTCAAGGGTACACTGCTTTACCGACAATTAATACGAATATTTTAGTCCTTGTTTTTATTGATTTATATTCGGTGGGCTACGCAACATGAATCAAATGATGATCGTGTCCACGGGCACGAATTTCCTTATTTTTTTTCGTGTCACTCAGCACGACTTTCAATCTAATGTATTTCAATGGGACATATTTTTCGTGCCTGTACCACGTTTCTCTTTCGAGAGCACAGTATTTTTTTTTTGTTTGTTTGTTTGTTTGTTTTTTTCAATTCTAATTAATTTTGCAAACTTTAAGGGTAGACTACACTAGGCCCTACCAACAATTAAATAAGAAGATTTTAATCCTTGTTTATTGCTTTATATTCGGTGGGCTACGCAATCAAATGATGATTCGTGTCTACGAGCACGAATTTCCTTCTTTTTTTCGTGTCAATCAGCACGACTTTCAATCCAATGTATTTCAATGGGACGTATTTTTCGTGCCTACACCACGTTTTTCTTTCGATATAGCAGCACAGTATTGTTTTTTCTCAATTGTTATTCATTGTGCAAACTGGGCTACATTACTCAACATTTATTCAGACGATTTTAATTGCTTTATATTCGGTTGGCTGAAGTGATTCATGTCCTTAAGCACGAATTTCCTCCCTTTTTTTCGTGCCAGACAACACGAATTTCAAATCTGTATTTCAAAGGGACGTATTTTCCGTGCCTCACCACGTCTTTCTTTGGAACATGGTCTCACCGCTATTCGTCACTTGACAATAATATATTAAATAATAATATAATTTGGGGCTCCATTAAAATTACATTACAGGACAGTATATTTTCTATATGCTTAAAACATGCCTTGTGGGAAAATGAAGTTTTCCCCTCTCTTTTTGACATAATTTTGGACTACATTAAAACGACATAACTTAATTGCAGGACTGCATATTTGCTGTAGGCTTAAAACACGTCTTAATTTATTGTGGGATATTTTGTCGATGGTAATTCAATTTGCAATTTTTTTTTTCTCCAAAAAAACAAAAAAAAACAATTAGCCTACTTTTATAGAACTTTCATCCCAATACGTATTATGAAGTTGTAATAAACTGCAGAAATATTTATATTGCTTTATATGGACATATCCTTTGGCAAAGCGATGCATTCTGGGAAGTGATATGTGTTAAATGTAATGTCTACATACTCGTGTTTCATTCACTTTAACTTTTACGCTGACCACTTTAAAATTGAGCACGGATATAAAATATTAAGACTGCACTTTTTAATTGTGATTGATATTTTGGCGCAATTTTGAGCAACACGTCACTGTGTGCGACCATCGGAGAAACCATTGCCCAGCGCGATTCCACCACGGTAAGTCGCTTACAGCAGCCTGTTAAGCAAAATTAATTCATAAGCATTACACGTCCAAATTAATAAAATTACGAGTTTATATATATATATATATAAACATTTTCTAGGCCTAGATCTAGGTGATATATATATATATATATATATATATATATATATATATATATACATGTATGAAGAGTTCAGATGCAAAAGCCTCTAAATGCCATTTGAAATTTTCTTCTTTAATGATGATTTTTTATCAAACTTGTATATTTAAGTTCAGTAATTTCACTTAAATAACAATTAATAATATTAATTGCGCCATTAAAATAATTTTTAACAGTAGCACAGGAAGCATAGGAACAGCATGAATCTGTATTTATTTATCCTAAGCATTTATAAGAAAAAATCTATTATAGGGTACACTTTTTAAATCCTATCAACATAGCTACATAATTAACATTTTTTGTTGTTCTCCCTGCAGATCCTGTCAAACATATCACCTGTCGAACATATCTGAACCTGATTTTCAAAACCCAAAGGCACTTTTAAGAGCCAACCTCCATCTCTTCATTACTTTCTATATCTTACATTCTCTCTGTTCTCTCACTATATATATTTCTGTCTATCTTTTCAATCTTTATCTATCTCACAGTCTTTATTTATTGCTCTTTCTTTCCTCCCTGTCTGTCTTACTCTACTTGTCTGTCTTACCCATCTTTGTCAGTCTGTCTGTTTGTATCTGACTGTCTGTCTGTCTGTCTGTCTGTCTGTCAGTCTGTATATGACTGCATTGCAATGGCCACCAAGCATAAACTTGATTCAAACGATTCACACTATCAAGAGGGGAGACGCATGGCTCTGGAGCTGAAACATGAACGCATTCTAGCTGAAGCCAAGGTTAGAGTTTTTGTACACCTCAATCATTTTATAACAAACATAACAAATTAAAGTAAAATGGGATGAGTAATATGTAAGAATGATGAGTGCAGAAGATTTAATACAGGTATATTTGCATGATGCATCCTGCCATGCTCTATGACGTGTTAATTAGGGAATATAATCATAATAATAATAATAATAATAATACATGCAGTTCCATCCCCTTTGAGTTACAGAGACTTGGGGAATATATTCCCAGGCTCATTTAAGCTTTTCAACACCTTACTAACACACTATGTTGTGTTTTCCTTTCACAAGTTACCTGCCTTTTGGTTACCGTACTTTTATCAACATCAGTCTTACAAGAAATATTAACTCCAATACACAGAGAGCAGCTGATGCGAGGAAACATGTACGAGACCCTCCACACACCTCTAAAAGGGACTGTAGGACGTGGTAAGCCGAGGGGGAGGCGAGGAGGGCGACGCCAAGCCCCCACTACAGGTCATATCTGAATTATTTGACATTTGTTTGAATTTACTATGACAATGTTGGACCAACTCAAATGTTTGGACCAACTCAATTTAGAAATTAGAACAATGTAATTGTTTAACTCAAATTAGAACAATGTAATTGTTCATTGAGAGTTTAAAATATAAAAAGTAGATAAACCTTTCAGTGACACTATTGTAGAAGACACTACCAAGTACCTAACAAAAATATGTCTGATATCATAAAATGTTTAGTATATAGTTTGAAAAGAAGAATAAGAATAGAGTGTGATAGCCTAACTTGTTCTTATTATTATATATTTTGTTTTACAGCCACATGCCCCACTGTTGAGTGCTCCCTGTCATCCAGTGTGGAGGTTCCACTTACTGCAACCTCAACAAAACTAAATCCTCAAGAGGAATTTGGTAATTCACAGTGATGAATTTATGAATGTACAGTATAAAAAAAGTGTTCATTCTGATACTGATCAGTTGACTTTTAATTGTTCCTTATCTATAGTGAATGATCCCTTACCGCTTTATTTTTGGATTTTCTTTACAGAAAAAAATATGGAGAGGCTCTCTGATATTTTGGCGTCATGTCCTTCTGCTGCTCAGCCTCAAAGTAGCTCTGCGTCATCATGGTCTTTTCGGCAGCAGAAAGCCTCAGAGCGCTGGAAAGAAGCAAGACCATACCACCTAAAGTGCCTTATGTCAAAAGAGGCTGTTGGTCATCCCCTGTGTTGGCTTTGCAACGAGCCTGCTGTGATTAGGTTGGTTTTCATTAATACAAAACTTCAATTACCCAGAGTAGGTTTGCTGAGTGCCCTGCTTTATTGGTGAAGATACATCTCTTTTGAGATGGGTGAAGACTTGGATACCCAGATGAAAAACACATTAATGAGAAAAGTAAATCTAGGACCTTCTTGCTGTGAGGTGACAGTGCTAAACACTGATCCACTATGCAATCCATTACAATTAAATCATACTTTATAAAAGTCAAACAGCTTAACTAGAGTGTGCAGTACTTTATATGAGTTATTCACCTGAAATAATGTATTATATTATTTTCTTTTCGCCCTAGGTGCAGAGAGTGTCTTCCTGAGGAGTGGTTCTTGGTTTTCATTAATACAAAACTTCAATTACCCAGAGTAGGTTTGCTGAGTGCCCTGCTTTATTGGTGAAGATACATCTCTTTTGAGATGGGTGAAGACTTGGATACCCAGATGAAAAACACATTAATGAGAAAAGTAAATCTAGGACCTTCTTGCTGTGAGGTGACAGTGCTAAACACTGATCCACTATGCAATCCATTACAATTAAATCATACTTTATAAAAGTCAAACAGCTTAACTAGAGTGTACAGTACTTTATATGAGTTATTCACCTGAAATAATGTATTATATTATTTTCTTTTCGCCCTAGGTGCAGAGAGTGTCTTCCTGATGAGTGGTTCTGTGGGGACTGTGATGTATTGCATCACAAAAAACAGCCACTCCACAACAGGGAATGTGTGATTCGTGGTTTTTTTGAAGCCATTCCTCCGACCACATGCATCATTAAAGGGGAAGATGGATATTGCACCCATGAGCAAGGTACTTTCTCAAGAAAGCGCTTTAATTTTGTTGTTTAATGTGTGTCTGTAGACAGTTACAGATCATCTAAATTATTGGTTTTCCTTATTTTTGCCAGCTTGCATTTTGCCAACTGTAAAGGTTCCAGACTGCTCCTGTGGAGGCACAAATTTCACCATGTTACCAGGCAAACCAGTGATTTTAATTACCATCAATGGTAAAAATATTTATAATATATAATATATATGTATATTTATATATATATATAACTGAAAGAAAGACTGATGTTTTTTCCTTTTTTCTTCCACAAAAAAAAAAAAAAAGATTAGCATCTTTTCAGCATTATGTCCAGTCAACACAGGAGTGTGGAATATATTGAATTAGAAAAAAATAAATGTGGGATTATAGGAACTTGTGTAATGTCTCTCAACCATTCATAATGTGCATAATGAACTAAGTGTTGTAAAATTAAATATGTGGTAAGTGTGTATTATATTTTTAATATTTATTTTTGTTTCAAGGGCGCTTTGACTTGCATCAGCCACTGTATGAATGTCAAACATGCAAGCAGCAGTGGACCCCTGACATGAAGGACCTCCTCAGAAGTGGATATTGGCCAGCCTCCATCACCAATTCCACACTTTATACATTGGACCTCCTGAGCTCCTTTAAGGAACTCAAGATCATTTCTCCAGGATTCTCCAGACAAGCCTTTGCAAAACTGCTGGAACATCGCACTAAGTGTGGAGGAAGAGTAAGTGTAAATGTTATTTTCTATTTAAAAAAAAAAAAATCCATAAGCAGACAATATCAAAATACTATTTCATTCTATATATTTTCCAGTCTGGACCTATCAATGGCGATGCCCTGCCTACCCTCTGTACCTTCAAAGGGAGCTCATGCCAGCCAAGGCACAATTCTTTGCAATGGACGTGGCATGCAAATACTGGCCATACCTGGAGAAAGTTGCTACTGTCCTTCCTGCTCTTCAGGAACTGACCACCATGAAACCCTTTCTGAGTGTGATGCATGCTCGAGCCCATGCTACTAAGTGTGAGGTGTGTATAATATTTTGGCATCATATGTACATTGGTAATATTTACAAGCACATTAATAATATGAAATATAAGTTAAGCTACAGTATATTATCTTGTCTTTTTGCATAATCATTTCTTCTATGGAATGTAATGACCTTTGATGCAAATTGTGGTTTGTGATATTGGGCTATATCAATAAAATTAAATTGAATTTCTTCCACCCTTTACTAACAGATTAATTGGAGTGGCAGGAACCAGGAAGGAGCAGGGACAACCGCTGGTGAGGAGGTGGAGCAAGTAAACAGTTACCTCTCACGTTGTGCCCTGACGACCAAATATATGTCCAAAGCAGGTGATCCGAGTTTGCAATATTCGTGTATACTATTTTTAGATTGGTCATCATAACCTCATTATTTGCTTTCAACAGCACGGGTGGACATGCTTACATTGCATGCAATGGGGTGGAATGAGAAAAAAAATCTCTCTTTACATCAGGCACTTTCCACAAGATATGTGAAGGTAAGTCTCATATTATTTTTTTGTGTCCTTTTGTTGTTTACTTGGCCTGTTGTTAATCATACATTTACATTTCCTGATTATTGTATAACACTGTTCATCAGACTTGTCAGAGACTCCATGATGAGACTGCAAGGCTAGCTGACCTAAAAACAGAACTAGATTGCACAGATGAAGTGGTATCACAGTGGCTATATCGGATGTAAAGGAATGGGCAGCTGGTGGTAAGCATTACCAGATAAAAGAAAAAAAACAAACATCCCTTTCTACAATCTAAGTTTGATATTAAAGAGCAGCAAAAAATAGTAGGCGGATCATCATCTAATGTGATGCCACATTTATGTCAGGTTTATTAGTATATTCCTGTTCCCTGCAGGAAGTGCACATACAAAGTTTAAATAAGTTGGATTAAAAGGTTCTGTGTTGTTTTAACAGTAAATTTGCTTTCACTATATCTTCTACAGAGACACCTGATGCATCTCATGCCAGTCAAGGCACAACACACAGAGGAATGCAGCAATCAATTGAGGGGCTCTACCTTAGTGTGAGGCACCGGAAGCGAACCCTCTACCGTCAGAATGGTATAACTATATAATATAATAGGTTGATAAATTCAGGCTACTGTATGCATCTTACTCCACCAACATGAAATTAGCAAAGTAGCACAGTTCAGCTCAATCATTGAATTATGTTCTTTAAATGACAAGTCTGTAGGATTTAGTGGTATCCATCAGTGAGGTTTGACGATTGCAACCAGCTTCCCTCACCTCTATCTTTCCAAGCTACAGTAGCCGATGAGAAAATGTGAGAGGTACTATCTAAACCCAGTGTTTGCTTGCCTGTTGTGGGCTACTGTAGGAATGTGGACGTGCAACATAGTGGCCTCTGTGGAAGCGGAACGTATTTAGATACAAAACTGCCCATTGTAAATGTATTAATGCACAATTATTATTTTCATGCAATCATGAAAAGTGTGTGTGTGTTAATTATTCCAGCAAATAGATTGCCCCCAAAATTTTACACACTGAACAATTTGTTTCCCATGTCATTCTACATTATAATTTTCACACACTTCAATAACTGTAGCTCAATAACTTTAATTTTTTGGCGCTATATTTTTTTTATTGTTGAAGAGTTCTGTCAAAAACGTCTGCCTCTGTACTTCATGTCTTTCTAGACAGCAGCAAGTTTCGCCATCGCCTTCGAAGGAAGCTGGCAGAAGACAAAAAACTCCTTCTTCAAGAGATACAGAAATACAATGATCTTGTACTAGAATCGGCAACAACCATTGACGTTGCTGTGGTGGAGCATTCCCTAACTGGAGAGAGCACTGTGTCTCAAATATGGCCGTGGGAGGTTCATGGCAGTGGTATGTCTGTTTTTAGATGCTTCTCAGGAATTTATTTACAGTTCTGCTTTATAGAGTATACTGAACTAAGGCATGCATCTTACATATTGAGTGTTGTAATATTAATTTAGTTTAAAGTCCCTGTAAAGTCAAAATTAAGTATGTGTTCTGAGTTTGTTACACCACAGAAAAATGTGTTATTAGCCATCCAGCCAAATTTGAATGATAAAAAAGCCGGCAAGTACATAAAATAAGCTATCAAAATCATGAAAAAATGAGCAGATTCTCTGCTCTCAAACGCTGGGGGCGTGTCCGCTGGCTGTGCTGAAACCACGCCCACTCACGGGAAAGCTGTCGACAGTGATATTAGCTGATTAGCTTTTGGAGACGGGGGGATGAACGCTGAGGCGAGGGGAGATCGTCGTTTCGGCCCCGTTCACCAGTAACAGCGGATTATCAGTGAATCCCAGTTGTCTCTGAGGAAAGTTTATAAAACGATCCAGTGTAAAACGGTCACTACAAAGGCGGGTGTTGGCGGTGATCCTCAGCTCTTCATCAACAAGGTTGGCTCTCTTAAAAACCTCTTCTTGATGTGATCGTTTTTAGGGAATTTAAATGAAGATACCGATCTGTTTTGTACATGATCGCATCCAGGTAATAGCCTATGCATTTCTGTGTCAAATAGCTAGCTAGAAAACTGTAGGCTGTAGTAAATAATAGGACTGACAGTCACTCGTTATTGAGCGGTGAATGTGCTCTATTGTTAGGGGAGAGATCAGACTCTGTGCGTCATCAAATAGGGGCTTGTCCACGAGCTCATGGGCCCCAGTGTGTCATCGAGCCCTGTTTTAGCCCCGCCAAAACAATCCGTAAAATTGCAATGGTGAAAAACTGTTTAACGGTCTAACTCCACATTTCAGTAATTCACAGTTCACAGACTTTGTAAAATGTTTTAGCAATACATATGTAACATTTACAATGCGTTTAGAACTTTTTTGTAGAATTGCCTTTACAGGGACTTTAATGGTGTATTTTCAGTTTCCTTGTGTATAAATTTGATTTAAAAAAAAAATCAATGTTTGTAGTGATTATGCAAGATTGTCTCATGTATACATATAACTGTAATTGATTCTTAGCAAACATGTCAATGAAGAAACAAGTGCATGACCAAGTGATGTTAACAAGGCGACTGCATGAGGAAACAAGAGTTTTGGTGTTGGTGTTCACAACACTGTACATGGTTGCAGAGCCTGGCAATGGTTCTCAAGAACAAGTTGGCTGAGGAGGGTAAGCTAAATTAAAACACCATCCATCTAATGTGAAAAAAAACACTCATCAGTCTCAGTCACAGAACTTGGATGGAGTAGATTTGTTATTGCATTGCCGTATCCATTAGGCATCTACATAAAATAGGGATTCAACTTGTTACTGTAGCTATTGTAACAAGTCGGTAAGACTATAAAGATTCACATTTGCTTGAAAGATGTGCAGATTTGTTGTACTATGGCTGTTATTAGAAAGCTGAAATTAACAAAAGAATTTTGAACATTAGACTTTGTGTCCTGATGTGTTACATAGGGTTAGCATAACATCAATATTATTATCTCCTCCAGTCAACATAGAAAACCTTGCTGGTCAGCAAGTAACAATGTGTTAATTCAGCACACAACTGTAGTGAAGAAAGCTGTTTTAAGTTAACAGTTAACAAACATGGGCACAAAACTTTGGGCCTCCCTCCATAAAGTCACCTCAGTGAGCTATCATGTTGCCTCAAGTCGTTTTATACAGAAGCGAGCCTGGTCCCATGTCAGCGATTAACTCACATAAAAATGCCAACCATCCTGCTATGTAGATTTGAATAGGGGATATCTTTTTACTCCATTTAAGTTCTTTGGCCTAATGAAACAATCTTAGTATAGTTTGTCTTTAATGTAATCTATCTCTTTTGTATTTTGAGACGTAGACAAGGGAAATGAGGGACTTTGCTGTCTCTTAAGAAGAAGACTGGCAGAGGTGTCAGAAAGGTTCCAAGTTGTCCTCCAACAGTACAAGACTGCTTTAGGTCCTGAGGCTTCTGTCCTTCTACATGTTGAAGAGGAATGTCAAAGTGGCCTCAGTAGTCCAGACACCAGTGAGGATGAAGAGGAAAACACAATTTAGGTCATTTATTCATTAATATGTACATTTGTCTGTTTTTGGAATAACCCCGTTACTGTTTATAATAATTTATATTGTGTATTTCATTAATGCTTTACACACCTTATTTGTTCTAAAACAGATGAAATTCACCCTCTTATTCTAATTCTTGCTTTTTTGTTTTACTGTAATTCTCCAGATGGAAGCTGCACGAAGGACTGCGTTGAAGGAAATGGACTTGCCCTACAGACCTTATGCACCAGAGAAACGAGGGCGCCGCCATCTTTAGAATATTGTCTTTGAACTTTTGTTTTTGCGGTCGCTCTCTATATTTCTATGGCATCGCTGTCGAGGAGTAATTAGCTGGTGAAGTGGATTTACTTGTAATTGTAGAGTTAACGAAAGTTATCATGAGCATTGGAATGTTTATCATAAGCATTGTAAAGCAGATGTCTTAACAAATGTCGAGCGGGAAATTTTTCAAACGAGCCGTTCATTCAAAACTGCAAGAATCGCTGTGAAAATACAGACCGGAAGTCAAAAGACAACGAGCGCAGTGCTGAAAAGGGACAGGGCTACATAAGGTCTATATCTGTGTATTATTTGTATGCTGTTTGATTAACCACAATAAAATCTGTGTGCATTCTATCTTGTGGAAAATTCAAACTGTGTCTTTAGATTACAATGCAATTTAGTAAGCACATTGCACATGCCATTGAAGATACACAAACCTGTCAGTATAGGAGCACCAATCTTAGCCAAAAATGTCAACTTGGCATGATATTACCAAATGTAATTACTGGGCTCACATGATATTTGGGAAGTGAATTCATACCCTTTTAAGAGAGACTCCCCTTGATTGCGGTGACCCTGTGACATTTCCTCTTGCACCAATGTCAGGCCAAACTTTTGAATGTTATGAACCGATTTTTGTAATTTGCTGAGCAATGAATCATGTCTTTTTTTTTTGACCTCATGACGTTCCCTGTAGTAGCACAACCATTATACCAGAATGTAAAATTTGATTTGGTCTAATTTGGCAGATTGCCATGAAATCTTGTAAGCACATGATGACTTTGGTGACCTCATGACCATTCCTCTATCATTACATAGGCCATAATTTAAAAACTCGTTCTTGATCACTTGCATTTTTTATGTTGTGATTATACTTTATATTGTATATTATTACAGTTGACAGATGACTTGATCTCTGTTCTGCTGGAGCTTTTCAAGTGAACTTATTCTCACAGTCCATTGTTTTAAAATACAGCCGTATGGCTTGTTTGAAAAAAATATGCATTTGGTGTATTTTCAGTGGTATTGTTGAGAAAGACAATTAATAAAATATTTTCAAAGATTACTTTTTACTACATTTGTTATTGAAGAGCAATATTTGATATTTGTATGTTTAATAAAATCCAATAGCGGGATTAAACTTATAACTTAAATAACTTATTTATATGTGGAATCTTGTTTAATTTAATATCCCACTGTATCATTAATTCATTACTTTAATGCATGTCTTTTTTTCTTATTTTCAAACCAAGCTTGCTTGTAAACAAGTAATATCTATTATATGTAAGGTGTATGTTACATTTTCCTCGATTGCTGAAACACTATAACTATGGTTTTGAACAAAAATGTAAAAACCATAACACTGTTTATAAAAAAGCACACACTTTTCCGCAAACAAAAAACACTTGCTCAGTTTTGACACATGCTAAACTTTACACACATCCCTTCATTTTTCATTGCCTACAATGTTGTAATTTAGAAAGGCTTGCGTTCAGGACAGCTTCAGGTCAATTAGCACACAATCACCCAGGATCAGGAGGAAACACAAATAGTCAAAGCTGATCACACAGCAATCGAAACCTTCAATAGATCGATGGAAGGGATAAGATGAGAGGGGGAGGGGAAAGGGAAAGAGACAAGCAGTCTCAGATGAGATTTGTGCCACTTTTGACCATGTTCTTGTCCATGGTATGACTATGAGGGAGGCTGGGCTACAAGTACGGCCAAACTGGAGTCACTTCACCGTCACCTCAATCATAAGAACCTTCAGGGAGGAAAACAGGTACAGTAGGTGAGCTTCAGACTGCTGTAGGATTAAAAAATAATCCAAGACATTTGAAATAGACATTACTGTGTTCCACCCTTTCTCTCAACCACAAGGACCATTTGGAGTTCCCAAAGACAGAGAGGGGCTGATAGTGATCAAGGCCTGAAGGCCAAGATTTGTGTACTTTGGGGGGTCAATGAATGTCACACCTCTATAACAATGGGGGAAGTGCAATTATCTGATTGGTGTGGTATTACAAATAGGTTTCCACTCCAATGGTATAAAAATTGATAAAGTTTATTAGATGATTATTGAGTCTCCAGCAAGAGTCTCCTTTCCTGATAGTCCTGTTTTCTCACATTTCAGCCTAGAGATTGAACTGTTTAGGTTGATTGGATTAGCTAGGGGAGACTTCCACCTTTTGTCTTTAATGGCTCTGGGATGGCTCTTTGGAACCAGAGTTCCTGGCCACTATCAGCATTTAAATAGTTATGCTGATTCAATTGGATTGGAAATGCCCTCAGAGTAGGGTGTGTTCCTATTTCATTTGCATGCTTTGTTTCAGAGTGACTCCACCCTATGTAAACTCCTCCCCTCTAAATGTATAAATTGCAAGGGAATCTTTCCCTTAGAGAGACGATGTTGAAATGACTGCAGCTACGAGCAATAAAGAACTTCTGCTTGGAAAACGTCCATTGTCTCCTGGTCTCCTCTGCTTCTAACATTTCGACAAGGAGAAAAGTTTCTAACATTGGTCAGTTTGAATGTCTTTGGGTTTTAGTCACATGGTCAGGGAAAGGATAAAAGAAGACTGTAACTGTTGCTCTGTCTCTCTGGCTGGGTAAGATTATCGGAATAAGTCATCATCTCATACATCTATTTTGTAACTATTTTAAGTGTAACCATAACCACATTTTGTCATTAAACCTTTTCAATTACAACTAATGTGCTAAATAGTTTTGATTTGGTATTGACTTTGAAGTGCTACCTATTGCAATACAATACTGTCACTGTCTATAGCAACGCTCTCCCACATATTAAGCTATTGTAAATCCACTTATTTCCATTGTTGGTATAAGTGGCAGTGGGTGGAATAGACAAGAAATGTACAGTTTTACCAGCTTGCTGATAACATTTCTTTAATCATTCAGCAGTCTTGCAGCCTGAACCCCTGCAAGAAATCAACCCTTACACTGCTCTCTTACTGTAACTTTTGACTCACAATAGAGACATGTACGGTGCTGTTGCACTACTGTGAAAAGAAATGCATCAAATTCCCTCATACAGATAGAGTTTCTGTATGCTTTCATTTTCTAAAAAAGGATGCATTATAGTTACAGTAAAAAGTGCTTCTAGCCTTCTAGCATAGTATTACACGATGGAATGGAAGAAGCCTGTCTGGACATTTCATTTCATGTGGATCAACATGGTTATTTTGCCTCAGGTTAATGTAATAAACTGTTGCTTGTCATCATCATTATGGCAAGGACAAACAATATCCCAATAATAAAGATTTCCAAAATCTGTGATATGCTCTCCAGATCAAGACATTCACAATAAATCAAAATGTTTTTTTTTTTTTTTTTTTTTTACTAATTTACTGACAAATTTACTGTTTTATTTTACTTTTTACTGACAAATACTGTTCAATTCTAGAAACTAAAACCTGGTGATCCAGATAGGCTGTATCTTTATAATTAAATCTGTGTGTGTCATGGTGTGGGTTCATGTCTTGTGTCCCCCCCATTTTTGTGAATTTGGTTCAGTCCTGTTCCAGTTTTCCCGCCCCTTGTTTGTGTTCACGTTTACAACCTGTGTTGTTAATTTGGGTTGTGTGTCTTCTTGTCTGTCATGTGATTCCGTTTGCCATGTGTCTTGTTAATTGGCTTCATGCACGGCAGTATTTCCGGTGAAGGTTTAATGATGCTCGATAACTTCCGCCGATCGTAGTCCAATGCAATAGCCATAATATATATTGAATTTTATACTCCATGGTTATACTAAAGAAACGTTAGTCACAAAAACATATAAAACAGACACACGTACCTCGTCGT